TTCTTTTGTAATCAATATTCAATAATAACATTGATGGTGCTATCAATCATTTACAAGTAGATGACATACTTCTCCCAGAATTTACTAATGCAATACCGTTTACTTCATTCTTCATTCTGTGATGTGCCATTTGGGCTGTGCTCAGCTGGACACTTCTGGTCTCGGTTGGGCTCATTTATGTATCTGTTACCTGGGATTATTTGTTTCTGCTCCATGCACTATCTTAACCTTTAGCAGGGTAGCTAGAGGCTTGTTCAAACATCAGTGAGACAGTGCCCTAAGACAGGAAGCAATGGTATGGAAGGTGTTTTGGAGTCCTGGCTTGGTACTTGTACATCACGACTGTGAGCATTTTTGATTAGTCAAAAAAAGACAAAAGGCAGTCCAGAATGAAGAAAACAGTAAGTAGATTGAACCTCTACCTTGTCATAGGGGGTGAAAAACACTCACACTTTAAATGAAGATTCAAGGAGTGTATTTGGCATTGGAGAGACATCCAGGTGAGAAATAACCAATTTGTTTAGTGAGAACATGGCAGTTTCAGAAAGTGGGTGCCAAATGGGGGTAGATATAGGGCAGTGTTTCCCAAAGTGGGTGATTCTGCCCTCTTGGGGGAATGGAATGACCTAGGTGGGCGTGTTAAAAAAGGAGGATTTATCTACACGTTATCCTGGATTTTGTACTGTAGTTTAAAAATAAAAGTTTTTAATTGTCAGGGAAGCATTGAGGGTTTGTTTTGGTTTTGTTTTATTTCTGAAAGGGGGGCAGTAAGCCAAATAAATTTGGAAACCTATGATATAGGACAAAGAACAAAGGTATTACAATAAAAATTATTGATTGGTTAGTAGTGATTGGGTTTACCAACCCAATATCACCTATTCAATACCGACTCATAGAGACCCTATATAAGTGTTTCCCAAAGTGGGTGATACCACTCCCTAGGAGGGTACTGAAAGCATCCAGGGCCTGCAAAAGCAGATACTTACACTTGATCTTGAATTATGGGCTATGGTACAAAGGTACTATTTGTCATGGGGAGCTTTTTTTTTTTTTTACTGAAAAGGGGGCGGCAGGACAAATAAGTTTGGGAACCTATGCTAAAGGGTTTCCAAGGCAGTAAATCTTCATGGGAGCAGAAAGCCTCACCTTTCTTCTGTAGCTAGGAGCCCTGGGGGTGTAGTGGGTGATGGGTTGGGCTGCTAACCACAATGTCAGCAGTTTGAAAGCACCAACAGCTCCATGGGGGAAAGATGAAGCTTTCTCCTCCCATAAAGAGTTATCATCTCAGAAACCCACACTGGGCAGTTCAACGCTGTCCCCATAGGGTCACTGTGAGTCAGAATTAATTGATGGCAGAGTTTTATTGTTTCCTCCTCAGTAGTAAGCTGGTGGGTTTGAACTGCTGACCTTGAAGTAAGCAGCCTAAATAACCTCTGTAATCCACTGCATCACCAGCACTCTTTCAGGTCACACAGAAAACAAACTCACTGCCATTGAGTCTATGCCAACTCATAGTAACCTATAGGACAGAGCAGAACTGCTCCTGAGAATTTCTGAGACTATAACTGTTCATGAAAGTAGAAAGTCAAGAGAGTATTTAAAAATTAGGGAAAGACTTCTAGTGATACACATACTTCAGTGCGTATAGGTGGGCTGCAAAATTTCCATTCAAAATGACAAAAAATACTTATAATGTCTTTTATTCCCCAGAAAATGTTAGAAAAATGCCTAAGTTAATGTAAAGCATTCTTTGGGGCTGGAGTTGGCATTAAGCATTAACATCGAATAAGAGTTGCGTGAGCCCCCAATAAAATGATTTTGGTGGGGAGGGAGGGGAAAAATGAGCACCTAATGCCGGGGGCTTAAGTGGAGAGGAAATGTTTTGAGAATGATGAGGGCAATCAATGTACAAATGCGCTTTACACAATTGATGTGTGTATGGATTGTCATGAGTTGTATGAGCCCCTAATAAAATGATAAAAAAAGAAAAAAGAAAACAATAATCTATAACTTATCAAGGGTTCATAAGGGAGGGCAGGTGGGGGAAAGAGGGACAAAAATGAGGAGCTGATATCAAGGGCTCAAGTAGAAAGAAGATGCTTTGAAAATGATGATGGCAGCATGTATACAAATGTGCTTGACACAACGGATGATTGCGTGGATTGTGATAAGAGATGTAACAGCCCCCAATAAAAGTATTTGATTAAAAAATGATATTTTTAATTAACATCAAGAAGCAACAAAGCCCACATAGAAGAAACACACCAGCCTGTGTGTTCATGAGGTGTCGATGGAGTCAGGTATCAGGCATCCAAGACCCAGAACAAAAAATCATATCAATGTGAATGAGGAGGAGTGCAGAGTGGAGACCCAAAGCCCACCTGTAGACAATTGGACATCCCCTTACAGAAGGGTCACAAGGAAGAGATGAGCCAGTCAGGGTGCAGTATAGCACCAACAAAACATACAACATTCCTCTAGTTCTTTAATGCTTTCCCCCCCAGTATCATGACCCCAATTCTGCCTTACAAATCCAGCTAGCCCAGAGCATGTACACAGGTACAGATAGGAGCTGGAAACACAGAGAATCCAGGACAGAAAAACCCCTCAGGACCAATAATGAGAGTAGTGATACCAGGAGGGGAAGGAGAAGGTGGGGGACAAAAGGGGAACAGATCACAATGATCTACATATAACCCCCTCCCTGGGGACAGACAACAGAAGAGTAGGTGAAGGGAGACATCAGTCAGTGTAAGACATAAAAAATAATAATTTATAAATTACCAAAGGTTTGTGAGGGAGGAGGGCAGGAAGGAGGGGTGATGAGGAGCTGATACCAAGGGTTCAAGTAGAAAACAAGTTTTGAAAATGATGATAACAAATGTACAAATGTGCTTGACACAATGGATGGATGGATGGATTGTGATAAGAGCTGTGTGAGCCCCCCCAAAAAAAATTTTTAAAAGAATTTACATCAAAGCTTTTTCTTTCAGAAATTGCTGACTCAAGTAAATATCAGCAGTCCAAGGTTTCTTCTTGAGACTTTGTTTCAGTATCCTTATCACTAAAGGAATGTTTTAAGGCCACTTTACACCAACATATCCATATTAAAATCCTCTTCCTTAGGTGTATTCCTTTCATTTCCTGCTTGATTGTAGAGAAAACAATTTTGACTTCAAGCAATGAAGTTAGCCCAATAAGAGAAGCTTGTTTTTAAAAAAGAGAGAGGTTTGTTAGAAATTTGTATTTACAGATTTAGTCTCAAGTAGACAGACCAGCAATGAGCCAGTTTAATGTAAGAACTAGATTTAATGAGAATATCCAGTTTGGGTCAAAAAGATTTTCTAAATTTTTCCTCTATAACCTTTTCTTAAAAAAAAAAACTGGAAAAAATATTGAAAAGTGATTGGTTATAGAAAAAGAGGGTTGTAAGAGCCCCCAATCGTGATTTATTGTTTTAAGTGGGGGGGATTACATGAATAACAATGAATACAATGAAGAATTGACTTCTAAATTTGTTCTGGAATTGATTGTGGTGATAATTGCACAATTTTTCTTTATATGATTGAGTTGTATGTCATGTAGATAAAGTGCCAATAAAACAAATATTAAAAAGAGAAAAGAGAGAAATGTATCCACAAGTTTTAGACTATAGTAAGTAAAAAACTCACTGCTATTGAGTCAATTCTGACTCAGAGCAATCCTATGGCACATGGTAGGACTACCCCTGTGGGCTTCCCAGACTGTAACTCTACAGGAGTAGAAAGACTCATCTTTCTCCCATTGAGCAGCGGGTGATTTCAAACTGCTGACCTTGGCTATTAATGGCAGTTAACTTTGAATACTCTTACCATTAGACTTGAAGTTAGACCCTTAGTTTGTTCTTGGTATAGAAACATCAAAGATTTTGTTCATTCATTATAGTGAAAAATATCAGAGTCAGAGTTTAAATACATCTTTAGAGTCTCTATCTTTAAATATCCCCATGCACTGAGAGAACAATTTAATCAGAATTCTGATACGTTGTTTTAGAAACACAAAAAACCGATCTCGCTCTTGGGGGATAAGGGGTGTTCCACATGTGTCAAAGTATAATTGTACTGTATAGATTTTCTTTTCTTTTTTCTTACTGTATAGATTTTCAAAGGCTGATAGTTTTCAGGAATAGGCCAAGACTTGAGAAGCCTCAGAGACTTGAACCTCCAACCTTTAGGTTGGCAGCAAAGTGGCATTAACCATTTCAATTATCCAGGGATTCTACTGGAATAAACTCATTGCCACTGTGTGAATTCCGATTCTTAGCAACCTTTGATACAAGTCAGCTGTTGTTTCTCTATTTGGAATGTCCTTCATTCCTAAAACTCCCCCAGTCCTGGAAGACTGCTCAGCCATCGCTTGCTTTCTGGAAACTTCCCCAATACAAACAACACTCTACAACAGGCTTAAATGTCGCTGTTCTATTCTTGCTGTACGACAACTCTCCGGTTCTTCCATTGGGTTGCACGCTTTCAGAATTAGATTACGCTTTCTCCTCATATATGATGAAAGTGTCTATCAAAAGTGTCCACAAATATTTTAACACATCAACAGGAAACTCAATAACACGACAGAGGAGCAATCTTCAAGTTATGTGCAGGATTACAGGGAATAAAAACCAACTGTTTCGAAAATGACTGAAGCAGTCAAGCGTTATAACACAAAATTCCTGCAGTAGGTAGAAGCACGTAACCCCTGTTTTTTTAAAAACTAGCCCCCGTCAACTCCATCACCAAACGTAAGCCTTCATTTTACGGCGAGCCTTGAGCGCCGGCCCTCCCAGTGCCGTGAAAGTACGGAAAGCCCTCGGGGCAGACGCGCTGGATTACTGCTTTACGGCACCGTCCAGGCGGGAAAGCACCCGGCTGTCGGTTAGGGGGCGGGTCCTCGCCCCACCTCTTCCGGCCGGACTTCCGCTCACTCGGGAACCGAGTCCGGGCTCTTGGCCCCAGCCCTGGGCGCCGGTTAAGATCCGGCTCCCCGTTGCCGGTGCCATGGAGGCGGCGGTGGCGGTGGAAGTCGAAAATGAGGACGGCGACAGCAGCTGCGGGGACCTGTGCCTCCTAGACAAAGGCCTGCGGAGGTAAAGGGCGCTTCGCAGCCCGAGCGTCCGCGCGTCCCCAGGCTGCGCCGTGGAGCTGGCCCCGCGATGTGGCCCTGGGACCGTGGGCGGCCTCGGCGGCCTGGCTTCCCGAGTGACCCCGTTCTCTCTCGTGACATGAGCAGCTCAAAGCGTCTTACTTTGCTCCGTGGCCACTCTGCCCTTCCCTTGTGCTTGCCTTTCCTGTTTCCTGCCCTGTGATGGTAGCTAATGCAGAGTTTTGTGTCGCCTGTTCCCTGTTCCTCTTACCTTCACAAGAAATGTCAAGACTAGTAGCTCTGGCAACCTTGAAGCAAGACTCTCTGGTCTTCATTGGTTTATCTTTACCAACTCTATCTCTGTTCCAACTTTTACTAATAAACATATTCACGGTTCCGTTCAGTCATGCAGCCCAAACTGTGCAGACATAGGAGTAAGGACTTGGTTCTGCTTAGCTGATGGGTCTCCTTTCAGTCTCCTTTTTGTCGACAATTACGTCTGTAGCCAACTTCAGCTACAAAAGTTCCATGAACAAGCTTCTCCTGGCTTTTGTGGAATGCCTTTATTCATGTAAACCGTGCTACTGACCATCAGAGCGTCTTGCCGGGATCTAAAATCTGCCATGGGACCCCAGGAAGTTTTTTGTTTTTAAAACATATCTCGTTTAATAGTAACCGTTTCTATTTATTGCATGCCATCGATGTATGCATGTTATGTATGTTATTGCTGATCCTAAAAATAAGGTAGTCATTTTTCTCATTTTACACGTGTTAAATTAAACTTGAGACTCCGAAGCTTCAGTGATTCATGGGATTCCTATTCAAACCCATTAAGGTCTAGTTTCAAAGTGTTTACACAATATCTGCATGGTATTAATTTCCAGGAAAATAAAGCTATCAGAAAATAAGTGTTTCTCATTAAGATAAGATGACCAGACGTCCCGCTTTTGGCGGGACAGTCCCGATTTTTAACAATTTTCCCCGCGTCCTGTGCGTTTTTAAAAAGTCCCGATTTTTGGAAAGAATGCACAACAAGCTAGGGTATACTGTTTTCGGCTGCCATGTGACTATTTCGCCAGGATATGAGTTTTATCAATGGTGTCCCACTTTACCAATGTTAAAATCTGGTCACCTTACATTAAGAGCATGTGTTAGTAGCATAAGATATGGCACTAAATAATTCAAAATACCAATTACAGATACCAACTCCATAGAGACCGCATGTGTGGTATGTTAGAATAGAACTGTGCTCCATAGGGTTTTCTGTGGCTGAATTTTGGAAGTAGATCAAGTTTTCTGAGGTGTCATCGTCCCTCCCCTCCCCCCCCCCAAGCCAAATTCATTGCCATCAAGGTGATTCCAAATAGGACAGAGTAGAACTGCCGCTTTGAGTTTCCAAGGCTGTACGTCTTTAAGAAGCAGAAAGCTTCGTCTTTCTCCGGAGGAGTTGCTGTTAGTTTTGAACCACCAACCTTATGGTTACCAGTCCAATGCTTACCCGACAGCCCATGCCTCTAAGTGGGCTCAAACCTCCAACCTTTCAGTTAACAGCCAAGAGCTCAGTCAATGGCAGCAAGCAAAATCATTAGAAAATATTTAAGTCACAATTAGAGATTGCTAGACTATGGCCTCTAATATGGATTACACTTTAACGTAAAACAAATCCTCAAAGTTGGACAAGAAAGAAAAAGTGAAGTTTCAAGGATTTCATTGTATTTGGATCAACAATCATGGTCCAGGGGAATAGCCGTCAGAAAAGATGTACTGCATTGAGCACATTTACTGTAAATTTTTTTTCTCTATTAAAAAGCAAATAATGTAATTTTAAAGAGTAAGCTGCACCTCACCCAAATCATGCTATTTTTAATCGTATCCTATGCATGTGAAAGCTGGAGAATGGATAAGGAAGACCAAAGAGTTGATGCTCTTGAATTAGTGTTGGCAAAGAATATATGCTACAAAGTGCCAAAAGAATGAACTCACCTATATTGGAAAAAGTGCATCCAGAATGCTCCTTAGAAGCTAGGATGGTGAAGCTACTTTGCACATGTTATCAGGAGGGACCAGTCCCTGGAGGACATCAGGCTTGATAGAGGATAAGCAAAACCAAACGTGCTGCCATTGAGTCAATGCTACCTCGTAGCAACCCTATAGGACAGGGTCGAACTGTCCTTGTGAGTTTCCAAGACTAACTTAACAGGAGTAGAAAGCAGCTGATGGTTTCGAATTGCTGTCCTTTCAAATTGTACCCCAATGCTACAATCCACCATGACTCTGATAAAGTTGAGGGTCAACAAAAAATAGGAAGACTATCCAGAAGATGTACTGACACAGTGGCTGCAATAATGGGCTAGACATAAGAATTGTGAGAATGGCACAAGACTGAGAATGTCTTCTATTGTATGTAGAGTTTGGTGAGTCAGAACGGAGCACGTGAGCAACAGTTTGACATTTGAGATACTTTTTTTATTCTGTTTTTGTCTGTTTCATTCTGTCAGGAATTTGGTCTGAATGACCAAATTTGTTCTGAATGACCAAATTTTGATTTGATTCCAATTCATAACAACCCAAATAGTGTATTCAGGCTTTGTAAATATTTACAGGCGCAGACATCATCATCTTTCTCCTGCAGAGCAACTGATGGATTTAAACTGCCATCCTTGAGGTCAGTAGACCACCACTTAATCCAACAGCACCATCAGGGCTCCTAGGATGACCTTAGGGCACATGAAAAGTTTATAACTATTTAATTCAAGTTGTATGTTGCTTTGGAAATAACTGGAGTGGTCTGTCCTTACAGCTCATTTCTGACTGCTAGACTTCTTACTTTTCTAGGACCCTGGTTGGCTTCCCTTTAACTTTGTGATTGCTGCTGCAATACCTGCACTGTCCCTAGATGTCAACAGTTAAGGGTTTTACTACTAGCTGAAAGGCTGAAGTTTCACTCAGAGATACCTATAGACAAGACTGATCTGCGCAGCCAGTCCACAGAGAGGACCACATGGCCAGCCCCACTATGAGACTTGACTCCCCTCACTGACCCATGGCCCTGCGGGGCACAGCACCAGAGACACAGTGTGGGAATTGCGCCAGATCTGATCCCACCACACCGAGGCAAAGCACTGGGGTTGGTGCAGCAGAACAGCAAGGGAATGGAGCGGCAAGGTCCCCAGGGAATACTGGAGGTGGACTTTGGGACCAGGGTGAGGTGCCCCAACAGACTGGACTGGAAAACACTCCTAAAGGCCAGCAAACAATCCTTGAACTAACTACAAGCTTTTCTTTCTTGTGTTGTGTTTTGTTTTTTTGGGGGGGCATTGGTTTGTTGTTGTTGTTGTTTTGTTGTATATTGTTGCTTGGTTTTTCTGTCTT